AGCTAGTATAAACCAGTCGATTTCTTCGCTCGCAATTCTTGTATTTCCGGCACGGTTCCAGGTGTTTGGTACTGTCCAATGGATGGAGGTCTAGCCACTCGACTGCACTGATTCTAGTCAGTTGGCAGTTGTTTGTGAGATTGTATTCCCGTGATCTGAATATGTGCATTTGTCTCATGTCAGTAGGGTTTCTGGATACCAGCAGCTATCACGTTGTCAGGCCGGAGATCAGTTAGTTGCATTGTGGAGGATAATAATGAGAAAATTCTAATGCTAATAAGAAGAAGCTTTCAGAACAAAGTAAATGAATGGATAACTTAGTTTATCGATTGGTAGTGAAGATTGTGAGAGTTGACAGAAGTGTAGGCGAGAGAAGAGAAACAGAGATAATGAGCGAGAAAGATTAAGTTAGTTATCTGGAGCAGATGATAATCGGTATATGAGTACGTGTTGCTCCACTGAGGGAGCATTACAAGTTGCAACAGCTCTTAATGAGAAACGTGTGTACGAACCTGAGTATTCGCTATTTTATGCGCCATTTTTAGAGCATTACCTCGAGAGAAGTGGTGACGATGCATCGGTAAAATACTCACGTTGGGATTTTTTTGGCGTGCTTTATATGTTGTACACCATAGTAGATCACCTCTGATTCTCCTGCAACTCATAGGGAATAATTCCAAGTGCTGGAGACCATCTTTGTTAGTTTCATTTCTCAGCCCTGTCACCCGTTTCGTTTCTCGTCTCTACACTCGATCTGAGTGGTTTATGTCTCTTTTAATGGGAGAGAGTGCGAAGACATTGTGAACCTCTGAGTATGGGCGCACCTATGTCTTAAACAACGTTAAGAATAGTGCAAGGGCGACATCACCAAGTTTTCTAAGCATAAAGTGAAGAGTTGCATTTGCCTTGGCTGCGTCCCCTATATATTTTAAGCCAGTGTGGAGGCTTTCAGTGATTATTAAACTGAGATCACACTGTCGGGAGACTTAAATGAGCGAACTCCTATTGAGAGTGTAAGTCGTTTGCGTCATATGGGGCAGAATGTATGTAAAGTGGCATTTCGACTGGTTTGGTTTTAAAACCCTTTTATATCGCCCGTTCTTCGATGGTTGCATGGTCCAATTGGAGCTCAGTTGAACCCCCTTCAAGTCTAATGGACCTTCAGATCTTTGCATCGTCTGCGTAGACCGATCACGCCAGACACTCCAGCTCGCATGCGCTCTACTTAACTTCAAACCAAACTTACTATTCTCAAAGAAATTTCTAAGCCAAGATAGGAGTGGTTCATTGAAACATATTTCCGCAACCTTCGCAATAAGAAGTGTGTGGCGTACTGTGTGGAAGGCTTCTGTGAAATTTGGAAATATTACGTGCACCGGTATTTTTCGGTTCCAGAAGGATTTCCAACTGTACCACGCTATGAGAAGATTGAAGGCGCACGATCTCTTCCGAAGAAACCCGTGGTGAGCTTCATGGAGGATTTTTTTCTTATCCATGTACTCCCTCATCTGTTCGTTCACCAGCTCTTTTGTTACCGCCGATAGTATTGGTAAAAATGCGTCTGGTCTGTAACAGGCGTATTCATTCCCATCTCCTCCTTTGAAAATTGTAGAGATAGTAGCGTGTTTCTACTCAGCTGGGAGGTGGTGGGACTCCAGTGCATGCACTAACAATTAAAAATAGAAACATTCGATAACAATCAGGGACGCAAGCATGAGATTAAGATAATCCGACAATTAGAACTAGAAGTTGATTGAGCAAGGTTTTCAACGTGTTACCTGACTCCTGTTGGAACAACTGGGTGGAAGAGTTAGCTGTTTTAACACACTCCTGTGCATCGCAGGACCCCTTTGGGTAGGATGATTTTGTCAATAGTTAAAGGCTGTAAGAGTGTCACAGTGTATCGACACTCTACCACCAGCCATGTTTTAGGTTTGCAATTTAGGGAAAGCTGATGTTGGATGCACTAGGAACGAACTCATCTAGGGCATGACTCCTAGATTTCCTAGGGAGTTAGATCAATCTTCATTTTCTTTCATATAGATGAAATGACAGCAAACAGTATTACTCACCTTGCTGATATGAAAAAGAAAATGAATCAGCCCTTCCGTCCTCAAAATACTGGGATCGATCATCCTCAAATTGTAGATGCATGTGAATTGTGGGTGATGAGATTTAACATTGCAAATTATAATTTGTTTAGACATTAAGACATTCACTCAATATTTATTATAAGGACCCTTTGAAATTCTTCACTGATTTCCAAGGTACTGTGTGTAGAATTCTTTTTGAATGTTTTGTGTTTTGGAAAATCCCTCCATGTTTACATATTTTTGCTATGACATGATGGACTTTTTCTCTTGACATTTTTGGTATTTTATTTGATTCCAATTTGAGAT